ACGACCAAATCCTCCAAACGATTCCCGGATGTAACCCACTGGTGAAACATAGCCAACATTCACTCGTTACAGGAATCTGCTTTAAATGATCCCCTGCGAGTTTCTATCATGACGACATTTGTAGTTGAAATAGCTGCGATCAAGTGTATGTTTAAACCTTTTGAAGCAGGTACTTTCATAATTGCTCTTTTTCCTTGTCTCGCGCGTCGTTGCTTTTTTCTACAAAAAAGGTTAAAATTTGTTTCATCCAACCAAACTATCTGACGACCATTTGTGATATGTTCGTTGATGTTTCTAACATATTCAGCTCTTTTTTGTTTATTTTCATAACTGTTCATTGCAGAAGGCTCCTTGTGCACTTTTTTTAATGAAAACAATCTGCCTTCGAGGTAATTTGCTATTGTTGTTGTGCTAACGTTTATGTTAAATTGTCTTAATATCTTTGTTTTGATGGCCACCAATGTTAATTGACAATCATTTTCAATCCATGTTAATTTTTCTTCGATTTGATCTTCGGTCAACTTTTTCGGTTTAAAACCTCCTTTTCCGATGAAATTTGAATTTCCGCTGCGAACCCAATTGTATGCTGTCTTATATTTGATACCTAGCGTATTCGCGAGATTCAGCCAGTCTTCAAATCGCTCCGCACATTCAACAACTCTTCTCCTGTCATTTGGAGAAGATAAAACGTAACGTTTCCTTTTAACTTGTTCAGTTGTGTGTATTTCATACCGACAAATCGGACAACTTGAATCTGGTTTTTCCAGAACTGGACGTAAACAAATTTGGTGATATAAATGTTGACACGGATTTTGCTTAATCACAGACTTTCGGGTCATTGTGTATTGGCATATAACACAACGATCTTTCAATTCCATTATTATTACTTGTGCATACAAAAGCAAAATTTAAGATTATAACTTAAATTCATGTCTAAAAAGACCTTTTGTAACAACCTACAAACTTAGACTGTGAATTTGCTATTTTAATTTATGTGTTCTCAATTACAAGTTACGATTTCTCAATTACATATTATGATTTCTCAATTATATCTTACGTTTTCTCGATTACATGTTGTGTTTCTTAATTACATGTTACGACTTCTTATTTACATGTTGTGTTTCTCAATTACTTATAACGTTTTCTCAATTACATGTTGTGTTTCTTAATTACATATTACGACTTCTTAATTACAACTTTCATGTTCTCATTTACATCTTGAAAAGGTGTAGTAAACTATTTGTTTGTTAAATTAATTAAATTAGTTAATTCAATATACCATAGCATTTTTAAAATCACTAAATTCAAGTTTGTCATCTAAATTTGTAGTATCTTCCCAACTGGCTTATATTTTAAAACCATCTGGAGCTTTAGTGCTGTTTGAGTATGTCTCTGGTGGAATAATAAATTAAAATAAAAAATGTTAACTTTGTAGTATGTGTATATTTAAGTTAAACTTTTTTATAAATTGTTATTAAGAATTTATTATTATTGTATATTTTATATTATAGCATGTTTCTGAAGTTAATTTTGTACTATACCTCAGCATCTCAAAACCTACAGTTGTTTCAGTACTTTCATTTAATGCATTGAGTTATTTTCAATTTGCCTTGAACTATCACTCAATTTTGTTATATATTTTTAAATTTTCCATTTATGTTTTACTAGATATATTTATTGAAAACAATCTAAGATTAAATTAACTAAAAATTTATTATAGATTTGAACCTAATTTTCAGAAAGTGACCCTAGGTACAGCCCAAAAAAAGCTTATCGTACCTAGGGCCTCTAATTTTCAAACCCTTCTACTTGATTGAATTTATTAGTATAAGTCAATTTACTTATACTAATACAAAGTAATTAGTAAAGAGATGTGATCGTATCAGTTTTGCCATTTTTAGACAAGTATGGGGTCTTAAACTTTAAAAATTTTGAGTTTCGCAGAGCCCGATTTTAAAACATCTCGTTAGCCGGACTCTAAGACTCGTGGAAATGTTTAACGCATGGGTTGTTTTAGTAAATTTAAATTCTAGGTTAGAGATTTTTAATGACATTTGAGTTAGGTTGCCGATTTTAAGAAAAATCCAGAACAAGAAATATGTTACGCATGCATATTTTGCCTACTTCAAAGTCGCTAGCTTATTTGAAATGTCACGGCACAAACTAAAATTTGTGCCGTGTACTAAAAATTATAAACTAATCTAATTATCTTTATTTATAAAATGGATGATGCTAATTATTACCATGATTTAGAACACTCATCGGGTATGATTTATTTGATTTTTTTTAACACTACTTTTTTTTAGATTAAGTAATGTAAAACTATGTTACTATTTTTTAGAATACGTAATGACCTTTATTTAGAATTTTAATGTTAGTTTAGTAAATTTTCAAAAATAAATGTCAACTATTTTATTGTTAATTTCCTCTCAATATTTGAGAAAGCATTTTCTAAACTTCCTCAAGGAAGTTTAGAAAATACTTCTTCAAGTATTGAGACTAGCTAACTTTCGTTATACAGTTTAAAACTATATAACGAAATAGCTAGTGGCACTAGCTGTTTTGTTATATGGTGCCAAACCACATACAAATATTGACGTCTGCCATGCTCTATTAAATTGGCAACATGTACTATAATTGGCTACATAGCTATATGACAGAAAACTAACTTGTGGATGTAAATCACAATTTCTTAAACAGAACGGCTTCAATGTTTCATATTCAGTTGATGTAGCATTATGAATAAAACACACACAAAAAAAAAAAGCGAGAAAATATCACTGAAAAGAACTTAGATTATAGAAATAAAAAAGCCTTTATTTTAACACCCTTCAGGTAAATGAATTGTTGTTAATGTGTTCCGCTAACATTATGAGTAGTCAGAAATTTTAATTTAAAAGAAAAAATGCTTCAAAATGCAACTACAATATTTAAAAAAACATTTTATAAATATTAGAGTCTAAAGTTACTAGAGTTAGAAGAAAAAAATTTGCAACAAGTAAGTTTCATTAAAAAAATACTTGTTTCAAGATTTAGTGTTTTGCTTCTCTCTTTTGAAGCAAATTTCTTCAATACTCAACATGTAACTCTCTTCCGATTTAATGAGATACTGTAGATTTGGAATTTTGTCCCGCTTGATACATGGATGAGTAATAACCTTCCTCACTTTTTGATGATATTGTGATGATATATATATATATATATATATATATATATATATATATATATATATATATATATATATATATATATATATATATATATATACATATATATATATATATATATAAATATATATATATATTTATATATATATATATATATATATATATATATATATATATATATATATATATATATATATATATATATATATATATATATATATAAATATATATATATATATATATATATATATATATATAAATATATATATGCATATATATAGAATTTATATATATATATATATATATATATATATATATATATATATATACTATATATATATATATATATATATATATATATATATATATATATATATATATATATATATATATATATATATATATATATACATATATATATATATATATAAAATATATATATATATATATATATATAATATATATATATATATAAATATATATATATATATATATATATATATATATATATATATATATATATATATATATATATATAAATATATATATATATATATATATATATATATATATATATATATAATATATATATATATATATAAATATATATATATATATATATATTATATATATATATATATATATATATATATATATATATAAATATATATATATATATATATATATATATATATATATATATATATATATATATATATATATATATATATATATATATATATATATATATATATATATATATATAATGAAGGTTGGCATACACAGTTATTTAAAAAAATACTTTTCAATTTGTTCTGTTTAACCATAATCTTGTATGTAGCTCAAATAGTTTAATATAGAACTCTTGAAAAAAATCACAGAGTGTTTCTTGAGGACAATGGTTTTCCCTACACTGGGTTTCCATTCATTTTTTTCAGCGCATACTTGTCTTGACTGTCATTAAGGAATGGACAGGCTTTTTTTAGTACCCGTATACGATATCTGCATATCCATAATATACAAATTGAGTCCTGTATATAAATTTCTTTTTAAATTACCTTCATCTGTTGCAATAAAAATCATATTTTATTTTTTAAATTTCAAATTTTTATGTTTATAGTAATATCTTTGTTTATAATGTATAAGCTAAAGATCATTATTACCAAAATAACAAAGTTATTCTCCAGGATACCAAAAAATTTGATTGTCCAGCCGTGATTTATATAAAAGAGGGTCTTAGTCAACCCTTTTCTGATACTCTCATTATTAAAAATTAGTAAAAAGGGTGTCAACACTGTTCCAGAAATGAGAAGACATCTTGATTATTTTGTTGAAGCTGAATTTGGTTTAAATAACATTCCATTTAAATAACACGAGATAAAACTATTCGGAATCATATGACAAATGCAAGGAGAAAACTTCGTAGCTCTTTATTAGATCAAGAAAGTTTGCTTGATAAAGTTAATGAATGAATAGTCATTGGCAAAGAGAACTTATGATAAAGTTTCGAACAAAAGATGTCAGCATTCTTGAAGACAATGATCCACAGCTTAAGAATTCATTGTTATTTGTATACCAAGATATGTGGCAAAAGAGACTGCTTTTGCGATATGGAACTGAGTTACTTTTTCTTGATGCAACATATCGCACGACTAAGTATGCTCTTCCTCTATTTTTTCTAGTTGTTAAAACAAACACGGATTACCATGTTGTGGCATTTTTTGTGTGTGAAAACGAAACAACTGAAGCTATCACTGAGGCATTGACGTGCATTAAAAAGTGGAATCCTTCATTTTAGCCTAATTTGTTTTAATTGATTATTCAAACGAAGAAATGAACTCAATAGAATATGTGTTTTCAGGTAAGACTTTGTAGAATAGGTAATTCAAGATTTTCTAAAATTTTAAGCAGCATAATTTCATGTATAAGGTCACCTTATTAGGATGTAGTGTCCTAATTTGTGATTTTCACCGAGAGCAAGCTTGAGAAAGATGCGTTTCTAAAACCAATAATGGCTGTTGCATTGTGAAAGATGCAGTTACGTTACAACTTTGCCAAATTGCCAATGCAAAAACAGAAGAGATTTGCAAAGATGCTGTGAATGCTTTCAAGAGACAGAAGAGTGGAAAAATTTCCATATAGAGAATATTTAAAAAATACTTGGTTAGGCAACCAAAAGTTAGTTTAAATGTTATAAAAATGTAATTTAAAAAATTATTCTATTGAGCCTTTGTAACTTAATTTTATAGTTTTTTGAGATTTCTAATGGTAGGGTTAATATTAAGTCCTGGAGAATCCTAGAAAGTGTTGGAATTTAGGTAGTCCTGCACAATACTGAAAATTCAAGGAGTTTTCAAATTTTTATGAAAAATCAGGCAAAAAATAATGGAATTTTCAAAATATATGCTTCAAATATATGTTGTCATCTCTTCAATATAATATTTTTGAGTTTTGAAGATAAAAACTTCAAAACATTAGCGTATCTGTGAAATTAAAAAAAACTTTAATTATCATGTCAAAGTTAAAACCTTTATAGGTGTGATTTACAAAAAAAATTATATAATTTTAATAAATATAATTTAATATATTCTAGTATATTTATATTTTAAATAAATATTTAAAATATGCAGAACACGTTTCGTTCAGAAGGAGTCCCTTGATAAACTGAAGCTGACATAAGAAGTTACTCCCTCAATTTTTAAGCAACTGTAGTGAAAATTATTTTGATAAAAGAAAAAGAAAATGTCAAGGTTAACAAAAATTAATCAAAGTTAAAAGAAAAAAAATTTAATTCGGGTATTCTAATCTTTTATTGATTTTTTATTACAATTAAAATGCCAAATAAGTCTAGTAAATGTAACACTTCTTTTATCTAAGAAATTGCTTCACAGAGTTTTTGTAGTTAAAGTTCTGGAAAAGTCCTGCAATTTAAATATTCTGGGAATTAAGTAGCATTCCAGCAACATCGCCACTTGCGAAATGTCAACGCAAACAATGGCACTGAAAGGCAAAATCAATCATTTAAATATAGTTTCTTGGAAAGAAGAAAAAGCTCATTTCTCACAGCTATGTTAAGGATTTGCATTGATGAATTCCTATCTCACAATTTTGACAAGTTAGTTAATCTTCTTATACCGTTTTTATTTAATACTTAGTAATGATATTATAGTAAGGCTAGTAAGATAAATAAAAATAATTATGTCATTACAAACAAGTTAAACTTTTTTTTTTATGCTTGAAAACAGTTTCTTTTTTTCCTTTTTAGGCAAAATTAGGGCTTTGTTTTTTTTTTTTTTTTTTTACTTTCAATAAAATAGTAGCTTTTAAATCCCAAAAACCGAAAAAAATAATAACTTTCTAAGCTTTAATAAAAAGAAATTTTATCTTTCAATTTAGCATAATTTATCCCGTTACTTACATCATATTAAGTCAAAAATATTTCTAGTTACTATTACTATTCTTTTAGTAATATTATTGTAGCATAGTTTTAATTGTTTTTATTATTTTAGCTATGTGGATGAAAATAGAAGAGCGCACTCATCTTATAGAAAGTATAGTAATAGCATTCCTGTGTATTTAGTAAATCGCCCTGGGCTTTTAGTAAAACACTGCATCAAAATGATTGATTAACTACAAGACATATCATTGGATGGAATTAATGCTATCACCTACAGGTTGTACAATGTTGCATCATTTCAGTCAACAAGTAGAGAGGTTTACCAATGTTATCTTGGTAATGCCAAGCACTTGCCTACCTGTTCATGTCCCTTTTGGTTTGATAATATATATCCATGCAAACATTTTTTTGCAGTTTTATGTAAAGAAAATCTCTCGTCGTCTGACTTTGATCCCTCTTATGGCAATTCTCCATATATCATATTAGATCAATTGTTGGATGAAAATAATTATTCAACTTTATCTCATGTTCAAAAGTTAGCTGAACTAAAAAATTTTAAAAATACTCCTGCCGGTGTGATGTTGCCTAGCAATATTGCATCTGCACCATATGAACATAGTCATTCAACTGCATGTAGTCATTGTATGAATGTAAATAGTATTCCCAATCAGAATACAGGACATGATAAAATACAACCAAATCATCAATCACCTGCTGCATGGCGTAAACTTTTAACTGAAATAATAAATTTGACGCATTTAGGTCAATCTCAATTAGCAACAGATAATTTGTTTGATGGTCTCTATAAGCTCAAGATTGCATATGCTGAATCTATTACAAAAGAACAACGCATTTCCTGCGTCCTGACCCATGCATATAGCTTGGTAATGGTACCAGCAATCTAGTTGTTGTTATTGAAAGTGCATAAAGCTTGTTATTACTGGAAATTCATATAGCTTGGCAATGATATAAGATATTCAATTGGCTTCATTATAAATAATTTAGTTGGTAAATGGCAATATTAATTCAGTTGTTGATACTATTAAAAAGTAAGTCCTTTTCATAAAATAGTTTTTATAATGGAAGTGGTACTCTCGCGTTCCTAATATTAGGTCTCATATGGTTCATGCTTCGCCAAACATTTTTTGAGGCGTTAAAAGTACAAATTCCTAGTAATTTGTAACTAAATAAAGCAACTTAAAAAAAATTATAGCACAGATTTTAAAAAAAAATAGATTTAAAAAAAAGGGCAGTGGCAATAAACTAAAAGTTTTTTCTCGACAAGTAGATATTTTATTATAGGTCTCCTAATTTTATAGCCTGTTTACACTAACAGTTTTTATTTTTATCAATAACTTATATATTTTTTCTAATTTTAAAGGCCGATTGTTAGTGTTTTTTCATTTTTAGTTCACTTTTTTTGTTGATAACAACTAAAAATTAATAAACGAGGGCGATTGTAATAAGCTTAAGGTGGGTGGGCAAACTTTCCAAAAACTAATAAACGCCCCCTCCCCTCTATTGTATTAAGAACACAAGAGTATGCAACGACATTGATTTTGATTTTAATTTTTAAATTTTTTAATGTCTATTATATATGTTGACTAAACAAAGCATTACTATTTTTAGCTAGTATTATTTACACAATAATTCACCTGTTTTACGTTTAGATATCTTGAAGCTGTCCTATATTACCACCTTCAGGCATGTTTTACAAGGTGACAAATGAATTACAGTGTGGATAAACTATATTGATTAATTGATTCAATAAAATGTAATGTTTAGTTAATTGCAACAAATTATTTACTGTATTGTTATGAAATTGAAAAAATTTTAATATGAATTATAAACACTAACTATAAATAAAAACATAATTGTATTTATATGTTTAAACCAATTTTGATTTTTAACATTGGTATTTATAACTATTTGATTATTTATTCATACCATCTACCTATATTTTGTATAATAATTTATATAAAATTTCTAGTAATGATTGATCTGATTAATAATTAATTTGTAGTAATTTTATTTACATTTAGATTTATAAGAAACTTAAAGCTTTTAAGTAGAAGTTGTCGTAACTATAACATTTATTTCTATTTGCATTTGAAATTAAAATTTTTATAACCCCCTCTAGCCCTTCCTCGACTAACCCTGGTGGTACCCCTCCAATTGAAATTTAAATCATCAACGCCACCATTGACAACCCATTCATATTTAAATTATAAAACATGTAAAAAATTATAAATAAGTATGAAATTCAAATTAATTACATTATTACCATTCGTTGATTCCGAACCAGTAGATGTGACTATTAAAAAAAATTATAAAAAATTTAGATTATACAAAAAAGAAACTGTTATAAAAAAAGTAAAGTACTGTAAGGTAATAAAAAAATCGGTACCAATTATTAATAAAATAATTTATTTAATCACTAATAATAAGATCTATTCGTTGAAGAATCCATTTAAATAATAAATTAATACACAATACGTTTAATATAGGGTTTAATATATAACAAAAATAAAAAGAACTTGTAAAACCTTTTTTGTTTTCAAGTTGCTTCACACGTTGTACTAAACAGGAAACATTAAAATTTAAAAACTTATAAAAAACTTACTGTGCACATAAAATTGTTAGGAAAAAAGAAAAAGAAAAAACTAAAATTATTATATTAATCTTACTCAAATGTTGCAACATTTTTTCTACACCTAAACATAAGTAACATTTATTTCATAAATTGTAAGTCATGCAAAAGATTTGTAACCATATGTTATTTATTACCTGACGACGAACAATCTGTTTGTTTGTTTGATTCTAAATAAAAGTTACACTAATATATTTCAAACATCAGTTATAAACACATTGAAGTAATAAGAAAAGCAACTACATATAAATTTTATACTAGACGATTTCCTGGTAGACTCTCGTCTTGGTCTTGATTGGCGCTTATCTTATAAAAACGAATAAAAGATCGATTAGTTTGAATGTTATGAATACATAAAGTGAAAGATTAGTAAATATTTATTATTTATTACCTGAAGAAGAATCATATGTTCGTTTGTTTGGTTCTAAATAAATGTTACACTAATATATTTCAAACATCAGTTATAAACACATTGAAATAATAAAAAAAGCAAGCAAATGTAAATTTTATACAAGACAACTTCCTGATCAAATCTGGTCTTGGTCTTGATTGGCGCTCATCTTCTAAAAACAAATGAAAGATTGATTGGATTGAATGTTTCAAATGCATAAAGTGAAATGTGTCATAAGTAATACAAAAGATTCCTAGATATATATGTTTTACCTGACATCGGCATCACTGCTCATCTATCTAATAAACAATTAATCTATCTAATAAATAATATATCAATATAATAATATGAAAACATCTATAACAAATAAATTTGTATGCACTTTTTTTTAAAACATTCTAGATAAAACTATTTTAACTTTTATATACCCTTTTATATACATATATATACATATATACACACACACACATATATATATATATATATATATATATATATATATATATATATATATATATATATATATATATATATATATATATATATATATGTGTGTGTGTGTATATATATATATATATATATATATACATATACATATATATATATATATATATATATATATATATATATATATATATATATATATATATATATATATATATATATATATATATATATATATATATATATATATATATATATATATATATATATATATATATATATATATATATATATATATATATATATATATATATATATATATATATATATATATATATATATATATATTGAAAAACTTGTGTTTCTAGATAATGTAAAATTCTACATAAATTTATATTATATTACACTATCATATTATTATACAAGACATGTTTTAAGCATTAGGTTTTGAGCTATTTAGGGTTAGGCTTTTTTAAGCAGTAAGTGATTTTGGTTGAGAAATTTTGTTATTTTTTATTTGTTTTTTTAATAAATTTGTGGAAAAAAATTCACTGCCATCAGCGTATAACTTCATTGGATAGCTAACTAGGTCTGTTATGTCATTAATGTATAAGATGAATAGGAGAGGCCCTCAAACAGATCATTGCAGGATACCACTGGTGATTGGTAACCAATCTGAAGTCCAATTAAGAAGCATATTAGAGATACCATAACTAGAAAATCTGTGGAGCATAAGATAGTGAGGAGGTGTGTCAAATGCTTTTTCATAATCTATATACAAAGCATCTACACTATAGTCTCTTGCTATTGAGTGTTATATTTGATCGACAGTCTCCAAAAATTGGTAATGCATGATTTATTTGCAACGAATCTGTGCTGATTTTGAGATAAAAGATTATTTGCACAAAGATACTCGGTTAAACAATCTTTTTACAATACACTCTAAAATTATTATGATGTCATATATTACAAACGATATGACGTGCTATATAATATGAACTTGTAAATCTTGATCTACTATATAGAAGAAATTATAAAGATCAATGTTATTATATAATCTTGATCTTTACTTTAATTCTTATAGAAATCACAACTCTTATTATTGAAATTATTATTGTTATAAATAAAATTATTATTATTATAAATAAAGACCTTATTATGTTTTTACTTTGTATTTGTTTGCTAACTATCTGTAAATAACCTTGAATATAAAATTTGTATTTAGAAATATTATTTTTCTGAATACAAATCTACATTCAAGGTTGTTTACAAATTACTAGCAAAAAGTTGGTTAAGGATTTTTACTAACTGGATATCCAAAAAAATATTAGAGATAAATGGAATTATTAATCAATCAAATAACCATATATTTTAAGTATATAATATATATCATATATAATTAATATATGGATATAAAGTCAGTAAAAATCTCTAACCGACCAGTTTAAATAACATAAAATAAGTTTAAATAATATAAAAACTTTAAACAACTAAAAAACTTTTAAAAAACAGACATTTTTAGTTTAAAATCACGTTTTTTGCAGATTCGAAACACGCGAAAAACGCATTGGCCAAATATTTCTTAATCTGGATTTTTCTTAAAATCGGCAACCTTAACTCATTGTTAATGTCATTAAAACTCATTTTTAATGTCATTAAAAATCCCTAACCATTAAAGTAGGCCTTGTGGATACTTACATTCCTGAGTTAACAGATACTTTTCTTAGTTACAGAGGAGTAAACTGATTTTCGAATAAACTATGATTTTCAACCTACCTTTATATATATAGAATAACAAATAAGTGTTAAGGTAAATAATGTTTTAGCAACAAGGAAAACAAAAAATAATGCAAGAAAACATTGTCAATTTTAAATAACATTCAAAATTTATAAAACGATATTGTTTAAAGATTGTTAAAGTAATTGTAAAGTAAATGCAGGAACTGTTTTATAGTTTGTTAAACGTGATATTGATTTATGCAGATATGAAATAACCAGGAACTCGGAGTCTAGTTGATAAGATCAGTATTTGTTGCTCTTGGGCTGAAATTTTTGCAATAAGATTTGAAGTGTTTATTTGAGCTTCCTCTGACGTAAGTCTGATGGGTGATGTAACCCTTTTAATTATGCCATGTCTATGTATGTGCACTTTGTCTACAGATTGAGCCATGTAATAAAAGGGATAAAGGGACGCATGTAGTCTAACAGTGTCAAAACAATAATCATTGATTTTTAGGCAGTCTATTTCATATCCTGAATATAGTGATACCATGATAATGTAAAATCTGAATATAAGGTTTTGATCTATATTCAGAATTTATTCATATGCTTAAAAATCTGTCTTAAAATATTACAATCGTTGCTTGTTAAAAGAATGAAGCATGTCCCTGTTAGATCAGTGACACCTGGCGGAGGGTTAATATTAAATTGTGTAATAAATACAAATTAATTATGAAAAACGTTGTTAATTTAATTCAATTATAATCAATGATTCTTCACGCTTTAAATCTCTGTTCATCTCAGGTTCTAATAAAAGTTGTTTATAAATGCTTTGCCAGTAGCACCAACTAAACCACCCTTACACGTGAGTGTCATTGTTTTTTTTGATTTGTCGTCCAATATCAAGTGCCTCAGCACAGGTTCCTGAACTGCAGATTCTTTGCAAAGTATGAATCATTACACCTTTTAAAGAAACTGAAGCTGAATAGTTCTCCACTGTTATATTTGTAGGATAACTTTTTTTTTTTTTAATTTCAATATTCAAATGGTCAGAGTCCTGTTAACTAGGGGATTTAATGTAAACAGATTATCAATAAATTTCTCTTAAAAATATATAGATACTAAAAATTGATAAGTTAAGATTAGACAACTAAAATTTTTCCCATTTTGTTCACCTACTGGCCCACTGAGCGCTGGTAGTCTTAAGGTTAATGTCTTAAATGAGAATAACTTGACATGCCTTTCTGAATGTACTTATACTCTTTCTGTAAGTAATTCTGCGCATACTTTCCTTGTTGCATTATATGTTTATTGTTATAATATTTCTGTTGTTGTGCCTTATGTATAATAAAATTATTAATTTTCAAATATTATGTTATTTGTTTATCACATTATCCTCATTAAAAAAATGGCTATCATAATTGTTTGGGTTTTAACACTTAAACTAATTATAGTTTTTCCTGCCATAACCAGATTTCTAATTAGTTTTTTATTTATTTTTATTTTTTTCTCAACCTTATTTATCCATTAATTTATAATATTATTATTAAAACATAAAAAAAAGTTCTGTGGTTTTATTTTTGTAAGTGGAAAGTTTTGAATTGATTGTGTTATATCTACTCTTCCATGTATCAATTTTATTACT